TTTTATCTGATCAGTAATAGTTATAGAAAACGTGTAAATGAAAAGTAGAAAGTAAAAACAACCCATATCCTCCCTCCAATAGAATCCTGTTTCAGCCTAGTTAAAATGTATTTTACTTGTGAATCCTATGCTATTCAAATTGAGTTGGTTTGGATAACTAGGAAAGCTGCGCAAAACTCCTGTAATGAAATTTGAAGTCAAATGTGAATTTGGATTGGGTTAACATAAAAAATTCAGGTAAGTAGCATTGTGATTATAATCTATGGATGAATGGTCTCAAGCAAAACTAGTAAGATACTGTATTTGAGCTTAAATCAAAGCAACTTCGCTGTGTGAGAGATTTGAATGATAGTGTAGTGATGTCAACAAGGTTTTGCAAGCTACAGTAGATCACTGTATAACTGAGTGATCTATTTGGGAATGCAGCATTAAAGCAAACTCATTTTCAAATTCTTAGGATCTACTTATTATTACTTAGAAACAAAGTTATGGATTTGATATAAATTAATATATTTTTTCAATAGTGTTGATGGCAATACACCTCTACATACAAATTCAATCCATGACAGCTTGAACAAGTTCTGTCATTGGATGAAATTTCCTGGGGATGAACCCATATTTCTTTATGAGTTACCTGAGTTTTCAGTAGTCATAAGGAGAGGAAAGGTTTGTAAATGGTTTAAAAAAAGTGCAAAGACAGGAAGAAGAGGACAGCAAGAAAAATAACCTCCCTGAAAAAACAGTGTCCGTGCCCCATGGAGGTTAAGTGTAGAGCTTGCTGTGTGCATTGAGTGAGTGTCAGGCATGTGCTCAGCGGCCATGCTTCGTACTCTTTGGACAACTATCACACACAGAGCAGAGCTGCAGAGATTCTGGCAGAGCCTCCCCATTTGCCTATAGGAGCTGCTGGGATGGAGGAATTTTAGGGTTGGTACTGAGTCAACTAAAAGGGGATGGAGACATCGATAGCCGGTTGCTCCATTCAGGAGGGAACAAGCTGGAGGGCAGAAAGTGGGGCAGTTCGAGAAAGAAGGGATTTTGCACAGCAGGAGGAAGGGGAAGAGTTAAGAAGATGCAACAGGCACTTTGCAGATGCCACAGAAGTAGAAAGGGTCAAAGAGAGACCAGAAAAGTAGAATTTACTTCTCCAAGATTCTTTAATACATACTCCTTTTCAAAAATCTCAACTTTACATGTACTGTCTCCAGTTCCCTTCCTTTCCTTCCTTTCATAAAAATCTCCAAGACTTCTTCCCTTTTCTTCTCCCTTTCGATCCCATAATGTTTGCAGCTGCCCCTGACTCGGATCACTTCTAAGAGGAAATGAGTATTACTTACATACTCCCTTACTCCCAAACAAATTCTCTTTCATAGTTGGTTTTTTTTGTTTGGTTTTTTTTTTTTTTTTTTTTTTTTTTTTTTTTTTTTTTTTTTTTGGAATAGCACCTTCCCTTTAGGTTGGTGCCATTTATGCATAAGAAGTTTTTGTCTGTATATTGCTGTGGGTACAGACATTAGGTCTGGAGACCATAACTGCCTGTCTTGCAATCTGAGTGCAGTACAAGGCAGGGAAATAATTAACAAATCAGTCATCCAGCCAAATGCTAATATTTGCATTTGCCATTGATATAGAGAGAGGAAAACTGCTGATGGAAATACTTTCCAATTTTATTGCAGGCACAGAGAGACGGAAAGTAGGTCTTATCCTAGACCCAAAGTGATCACAGTTATATTTGAAGTACTGTGAAATGTTCCAGGTTTTGTCTTTGTGATTCTAATTGGAGTCACTAAGACTGTTTGATGTCCCAGGCAGGGCTTGGAGAATTAAATCATAGTATCACGAAACTCAGGATTTTCTGTGCAAGACTTCCAAGCAAGAAGTAGTTTCTGTTTTGCTACTTATTTCACTTTTGAGCTGAAGATTTAACTGACACGTTACTGATCTTAGCACTTATTAAATGGACACCTCAAGTTGACAACCATGCGTAATATTTAGTCTGTCCCTTTTATATCTCTTACCCTCATCCCCACCAAATTGTCAGGAATATTATTGTATTAGAACAGATATATAGCAGAAACCTGATTCTACGTGCTCTATTGCTTTTGCATCCTGCTATGTGCTCATGTGCTACATTCCAGAATTACTCCATTTCAATTAGGTGATAAGTAAAGTATGAAAAATGTTTTCTGAGCATTTCTAACCCTCATCTAATCTGTTTTATTACTTTTCCATGCACTTGACCTGTTTTCATTTTCTAGTGGTTGAAATATTAAGATACAGCTATTAAGATGCTCGGCAAGGTATAAATAAGTGCTTGTGTGTAATAAAATGAAAGCAAAAGCTTACTATAAGAAAAGAAATGTTGATTTTAGCTGTCCTGAGAATTAGAAAAGAGAAGATAGACACTGACTGGTGAAGATATGAAATATAAAAAAGGCACATGAAGATGAAAAAGAGCTATTATCTCTCAGATCATGTCACGTCTCTGCAAGTACAGTATTGTGCTCCCCTGGGGAGACAGGTTAAACCGATAGTGCGTTACAGAACTCTTTTGCAGCACTTCCTTGGGCAGGCAGCTCCTCTTAATGCAGTTGACTTCTAATGAACCTTTGTTGTGAGTGCAAAGATAGCAGGATTGAAGTCAAGTGCTATTCAATTAAAGATATATTTAGGTAGGTAGGAACAAGTAGAAATTTTGTATCATATCAACAGTGCTATCAAAATTGAACTGCTTTGTGAAACTACATCCACCTTGTTTTTGAACTTGATTAAGAAAGAGAACCAGTATTGACGGAGAGGGGCAGTATGTCTGTGGAAAGGCAGAGAATTTTAAAAAAATGCTGGAATGGTGTATTTAGTCATCATTAAAACTGTTTTGATTTTGCACTTTGAAATGAGTTTTTTGTTTCCTTTTTTTAACTTTGAAAATATAGAAGAAAGTGTCTAAAAGTTGAAATCAAATTAATTGCTTCAGAAAAACAATCTTGATAAAACATTTCAACATCAAATCCAAAATTATCACAGTCATTTGTGAAATTTGGACTTTCATCTTCCTCTTAGCCCTACTAAGCAAGTACACTCCCCAAGTGTTTGAAAAAAAAAAATAATTTTGCAATCAGTGGATTAAAATGTAAACCTGGACACACACATTTACAGCAGTACCATCATCACTTGAAAAGCAAACTTGTGTTGCTGCAGGATTTGATTCACCTAGCAAAAGAGAGAGGGGAAAAAAATGTCCTGAACCTGCAGATGTTTTTCCCAGAGGAGTAATGGATCTTATGTAAATAATCACGTCATTCTGTAAGTGCATACGCTTTCATTCCACAAATCTACTTCACCTCTTCTGCCCTTTTCTCTGGTGCAAGCCTCTGCTAAATCTAGCAAGCCTGATCATTCTGTTTTTAAATATCAAAGCTATAAACATCCAGGGCAGAGTTTTGTTGGAACCTCATTGTTTTAAAATAACATCTTGAAACCTCAAAGTCAGTGTGAAATAAAAATCTTGGTTGGAGATAGCACTGTAAATGACAGGTGTAGCTTAGCAGAACCTATCTCTGATAGATGCCATTGGTAAGTATTTCAGAGGAAAGTGCAACACAGCCCTCAGTAAGGAAATAATGAACCCAACACCGAAGGTCTTCACCTATTGGTCTTTTAAGTTGTGCCATGAAAAATGAGAATCTGTATGGCTACTTAATTTTACCCAATCTAAAGCAACTGTTGGGGTTTTTGTTGTAAGTATAAATATCTACTTCTTTCTGATATCCTGCTATTCTCATAGGCTCAATGATGTCTTGTAACAATGAGTTTCAACTCAGATTAATCAAGTACTCCAGGAAAAAAATGTTTGCCTTTATCAATTTTATATGTGTTGTCTTTTCAATTTCACTTAATGTCCAGGAACATAGCTTTATTTCCATTTTTCTACCATTCATTATTTTCTAAGCCTCTGTAATGTCTTCCTTTATTCATCTCCTGTCTAAAGCAAAAAATTCTGAATGTCTCAGTTACTCCTACTTGATTTGCATGCTTTTAATTTTTATTCCATTTTTGTACCTGTCCTAATTTTGAAATGTACATTATAAAGATGAAAATTCCAGGCATAATCCTGATCTGTAGGTTGGCAATAGGATATTACTTGTATAATGCTGATTCTTTTGACTACTTTTACATTTTTCATTTAGTTTTCTCTGGTGATTCCATGTCTACTCGAAAGATTTCAGGGGGATGTTCAGTGCTATGCAGGTTCTCACAACACCTCCCACAAATACATTTTCACTTACCTGAGCATCCTAGAGCACTTCAGTTAGTGTTTGTCACTGTGCTTTCTTTGTTATGTTCCAATGAAAGCGCAAACTGTGTGTTTTTAAAGCATTTCAGTGCGGTTTATTTTTCTTTTTTAAATCATCATGTATGTATATTTATCAAACACAGGTGAAAGGCAGGCATTTGCAGTGGAGTGTGGTTAATTCAGTAGTGATCTGCTCCTTTTGAAACTAAATTGTCTGAAATGAAGTCCATGTTTCTTCCTGCAGAGAGGTTTAAATTATGGCAGTTGCTCTACAGTTTAAGCTATTAAATAATCATCTTTTTAGGAGTTGATCTTGAGATGCCTCAGTACCAAAGTTCAGTCTCTGCATTTTAAGACACTTGTAAGTCCCTTTTCCCAGAGTGCTGCCCAAACCTGAATTTATGTAGTCGTTGCTGATTGTCATCTATGAGAGTGCGGTTTGTCACAATGTACTGGAAAACAGATGATCTCCCAAGTCAGAGACTGCCTCCATAACTGGTGACGTTTCATCATTCAGAGAAACTATATCAAACTTTTTCTCACATTTAAGACCTTTGTAAATGAGGATGTAGAAAAAGCATGATAACTAGAAAAAGTCTAGGCTATGCTTAGCTTTCAGTCCTGATGAAACAGCAGTTTTGCATGAAATTAGAGCTGAAAAATAGAAGTCCAGATTGCTAATCTTTTTTTCTTTCTGGATCCCCAGATCTAAACGTCCAGTGCCAGTTTCGACCACAGCGCCCAGAATTGATTCTCCCAGGGCTGTAATTCCCCACCAGAAGGTATGTAATATGTTTCTTCTCAACTAAAGTTAATACCATTTTTATCTACCACAGTGAAGGTAAATACCTACTACAGGAGATGGCTTTTGCCCACCCCAGATAAGTGAACATTGAAGGAATACACAGGCAGCAAAACTGCTACAAGGCAATGTATTAGTGATCTGTATTTTGCTAATTTCTGATGAGCAGAGCGAAAGCATCTAGCTATCTTCTGATGTGATCTGGTCTAACCTATTCTGAGCAGTTTGTTTTCATCTAGGGTGCAAAAGGCTACCAAGGCTTCTTAAAATATACATTTGTCTTTATAGATTCTTGGGGAAAAACCATTAGACTGTACCTCAGTGTATCCAAATCTTGACTACCACTGAAAAGACACTGATTTGGAAAGAGGACATTAGGGTGTTTTACAGCTTGCATCATGTTGCATTCTTGTCACATTTCAAAAGATATGAGAATAAAAAATAAAGAGGATAATTCAATTTAATGAATAACAGCAAGTGGCAGAGGAAATGGATGGCTTGATTTCTATTGTCAAATCTCATCATCTTCCATAAAATAAATGTTCATATTAGAATAAACAGCATTCATTGACTGTACCTGGCAACTCATTATCTGTATCTTTGGAGGCACTGAGGAGCAAGGATACCTGAAAGACAGTATATATCCTTCAGCTCAAGCACTGCATAGGACATTTGCATTGCTGACGCATTTAATTAGATAAACGGAGAGGAAGTAAAATCACCATTGCTGCAACTTTACCCCTTCTGTGAGTGCCAGTTTCATCCCTAGCATGTAGTATAAATAAGAAACACTGAAGATCAAAATACTTGGAGAATTAGGTGATATTCTACTGGTTTTAGCAGTTCTGACTTCCATAGATCAGTTTTAAGTCATTTTTATAAACACCGTGCTTTCCAAATTCAGAGCTCGGAAGGTAACATCATCCCTGTAACCGCTGCAGATATGTTCAAAGTAACAGAAAAGGTTGAACTTGGGGAGAATAATTTGATTCAATTTTATTTTGTCAAATTTGAAATTAACTTGTCTGGCCATTTATTAGTTGAGACAGAAATAATGTTATTTTGCTCCAGATTTTGTAAGCTTTTTGGCAAGGAAGATGAAATTAAGAATTTATCTTGCTCAGAGTTGTTCCTGCTTATATCATGATTTTATAAAAGTTATCTTGGCGAAAGTTATTGGAACAGTCATCAAACGGTACTGTCAAATTCCTAGAGCAAAACCAATGGATCATTCTTTTAGTAACACTGGTGTTTGACTGCATCAGCAAAGTAATAGGGACAGGAAGCGGGAGAGAGTACTTATTTTCCCTCAAGAACTACACAGAATGCTGTTAATTTTCAAGGCAGCAAGTAGACGTGTCTCTTCAGAGTTACTCACCAACACAGGACTGACAACTATCTTTTGGGCTCCTCCATAGCACCTGTGCAGGTAGGACAAATTTGCCTACTTGCACGTAAAAGTTTTTATACATCAGATTTTCATGACTCTGTACTGGGTGCATTTCTTCCCTGGCAAGTGTCAATTTTAAAACTATCGCTGTAGGTATTCAAAGCTGTTTCCCACACAAAACACTTTCTCCCTTAACTATCTACCCTATAAAAAAGTTAACTCCTTGCACCGTAGGTTTTTTGAAAGGTCCTAAAAGCGCCTTTGGCATGGAAGCTATAAAGTGACTTTACATTTCGTATTTTAACCCTTCAGAGAGAGATGAGGGTCAAAGGACTCAACCCTTTTTCAGGAGCATGTTGCCTCACACTTAAGCATTCTGTACATCAGCACTTCGGAAAGGTTTATAGGAGCTGTTGGAGGTAGCCTGTTCTGAATGAGCTGTAGGCAGTACTTGCAGCTGGAAAAGGGATTTACTGGAACCTTTCTGGAGGAAAAGGGCAGCATCTAGGAGAAGGTATGGTGGGAAACAGGGTATCTAGCAGTATTCAGGAAGGTCTTAGATGTAGGGTCTTTGGCCCGGAGGAAGAGGTAGCAGTGGAGAGCAGGAGTGGGCAGCCCTTTGCAGGTCAAGAGGGGTGATGTTTGTATCACTACTATACACTAGTAGACAACAGTAATTTTTAACTGAAGAAAAATTCTTCTCTGAGGGTGGTTTGGAAGGGGGTGAAAGCATTGAACCATTGGAGAAGTCTCAAAATCCAGAATAAAAAGCATTTACTGATACAAACAGTGGTATGGGGATGTTGCAATGTAAGGTATGTTACAATGAATGTACTTTAAAAGTCAAGGTTTCTTTGCTTGTCCCTTTATTATTTCTAGTAACAGTATCACTGTAGAAATGAAGAATTCTGTGACACATAGGCAGAAGCTGTCACCTCCACATCACTGTTTGACAGTGTTTAGACTCTGATGGTTCACATGAAATGCATTCGATTGCATTTCAATAAACAGCAAAAACCAACATTACAAGACAGTCACAACAGTGTTGTCCTCAAACATCGAGAGAAGTTTTTCTCACCTTTCTCTGAGCCAAGGTTAAGGCATGGCAATGTTAGCTAAAAAATCTGCATGTGCAAGTTCAGTGTCTAGTTTAAACCATGAATTTTCCTGTACATTATTGCTGATCTGATTGCAGCTTCCACTAATTTTCAAGCATGTATTTCTTCTTTGACTGCTACGGTCATAGTTTTTCGTGTTTTAGAAAAATAAGCATACATTCTCTTACAAAGATGTGAGGAAGGTGTAAAAACCCCAGAGTTCTTTACCACTATGGAAATTTTTCTACATTCTACAAGTAACATACGTTCTCTCCTTACTTTCTTGAGGTGATCAATGTTATGGATGATACAGGTTCTGCAACCATAAGTATGGCATCAACTGAGCTGTAGGGCTATTATTGGAAATAAAAGTTTGACTGATTTGCAGTTTCACTATTTCCTTATCTGACATTAATCTCAAGCTTGAAACGATTTTCATTTAGTTTAGCCAAATCTTTTTGATTTAGTCAAGTCTTTTGCACAAGCGTGGCATAGCTGAAAGAAAGGCTATAACTAATGCTGAAAGCTTTCAAATAACAAGAAGAGTAAGCATGAGTCCAAGGATTGAAACTATGCCATCATCAGTCAGTGAGTTCCTGCAGCTTTCCATGGGGGGCACAACACAGGTGAAGATTCAAAATGTTCAAGCTGAAGCTTTAAGGCTAAGCATAGCTTTAAACATTTGTCCCTTTGCATAAAGGTATTATGACAGCCTCTTTAATTTTTAATAATATGACTATGTGTTACCCTGTTTATGAAACAGTACTGAACACGCTTATTTCAGAGTCCCAGTGAGGATCTCGTGATGCTTAGGATTTGTTTCCTGCCAAATTTGGGAACCTATGTGGCTAAGAGGAAATAGATGAAGAGATGATTGACTTTTTAAGTAAAGCATACGATGGAAGAGCTGGCTGAGCCAAAAGCTATTTGTTGGATGTCTTTGAGCAGAGTCATTTAATGCCATGATGCCTCCATTTCCTTCTTTCTGTAAAAGGTTGAAAGCAACAACTGCTTCTTGGGCGTGTTGGGAGGTCAAATTCATTAGTATAGCATCAAAGTTGTTCTCCCAGAAGTGCAAAAGTTGAATAAAGACTGTAGGGTAATAGCAGTAGATAAATAGACCATGGGCTGTCAAAGGAAGAGGACCTGAAAAACTGATATTGTGTCTTCCAACATAAATTTGTTTCTCACTTCTCTGATACATAAGAAGGAGCATTTGCCTTTCATAGAAGTTGAATATTTATAAAGAAAAGAATAATAATGTTTCAGAATGGAAATTGAGCTGATTCATAGCTTCCTTCTATTCCCAAATGTTTGAGACTCCCCTACATTTATCAGTTTTAACCTCATTAACTACATTACAGTGGGAAATTAAAACGCGTTTTTCCCCTCGTAGTAAGGGCTTGCAACAGGATCACTGCATCTTTCTCGAGGGAAGACGCCCATTGTTCAGTGCCAGAGCCTCCTCTTCTGGTGGGCTGAAGGGTAGCATCAGACTTGCGTAGTTGGACATTTTCACTTGCTTTTCCAGCCACAGAGACTGAAACAGAACGGGATGAGAGAGGTGGGAAACAGGGGAACATTTGTTACTGTGGGCTGCATTTCGGGTGATGTAATACTAAAAGCCGTGCTGCTGCTCAGTATTAGAAATTTGACCTTCGCATTCAGGAATGGTTTCAGAAATGCTGCATTGATCTGTTTTTGCCACTGAACTGGAGAAAAAAAAAATCTAAAATATCCTACGAGGTATAAACTTAATGAGACGTTCTTTGTCAATCACAAAAAGAACTAAATAAGCCGATTATTGAGCAGTAATTCTTTAGAAGAAATTATACAGCTGCTCTTGGACACTTCCTGTTTCATCCCTTTCCCCCCTGAACACATGGAAAACAACTACCTTAAAACTACTACGAATATTAACTCAAAGTGGAGAACACTAACCTGGCACTGCTCGATTCCTAGGAATTCTAGTGTTGAGTTACCAGCATGCTGGTATTCCAGGTAGAAATTGTTTGAGGAGTGAAACCAAAACTCCATTCATGTCACAAAGATGAGCAAAATCATCAACTATCATTTTTTATGGCAGTCCTATAATTTTCCCTTTGCCTACTGTTAGTGTCCAGTAACACCACAACTATGAAAATGCATTAGGATTAAGGAAATATCTGGGATTTCTCTCATTAGCAGTTGAAACTGATACTTTATAATCAGATCTCCTTGCATGTCCGTTTATTACTGGGTTTAGAAAAGAAACCCACAGTTAACTTAGATTAAAGCCACCGAGTTTTCAGAGTGATAAACAATTATAACTCTGGCATATCCTTTTTCTCCTCTATTGCCTCTATTTTTTTTTAAATATTTGTTTTGTCCCTCTCTGCAAGCATGTAAAACTCATTTGCACAAGTGGTGACTTAATTTATGAACATGGCCTTGTGTGTTTGTGCCTCTTACAACACATTTTTAGAGAGACTCTCTGGGTTTTGTCTCTTTAAT